GTGGGTGTCTAGGATTTTTTGTGCGTATTATTGTATATTTGGTAGCTTCCGTAGTTTTAAAAGAAATTAGGTAGAATTAATGCGAGCGGATTGCGTTTCACATATTTTCCTTTCAAGCTGTCCTCGCGTGTTATTATAACGAGGCTTTAAGTAATGTCGAATGTGCCAAACGTAACGCGCGAATGTTCCAATCGGCTCGATGACGTTTCAGTTGCTTATTCACTTTGTCTTTCCCTCTTTGTTTGGCCATTTTTCATGTAAATTTTTAGGCATAAATGACAATCCCATGAGCATGAGTTATATTTAAATAATGGAAAAATGTGGTAATCGAGATTATGAGCGATGATTCGCCGATGACTCGTAAAAATTAAATTGCTCGTACGTAAGGATTGTTAGCTAAATGGAATTTCGACACGACAATCGGAAAATCAGCAAGGATTTTTATTATAAGCTTGATGTACAGATTGCGAAGCGGAGCTTGACGGTTCTATAGAAGCTCCATTAATACTCGGTAACGCAATAAACTATATTTAGGTAGCGGCAAGGCGTACTCCGCGCACAACGATTTGATATCTCGTAAAAGCCACATGGCCCTACGTATATATATATATATATATATATATATATATATATGATTCCTTCTTTCGTGCTGTCTCTCTTTCATTTTTTTATCTTTTTCTATTTTTTTTTCTTTTTTTTTTTTTTTTACAGAATCAGCTGAAAATTATTCCGTTGCTATATCTACAAATTATTATGTGGAAAAGCATAAATTTATGGAAGTTTGAACATTGAAATATTAAGAATCAATTATTACTAAAGATAGTGGGCACGTTGCGCGTTCGCATATTCTACATCTCAATCTCATAAGCAATACATATTTATTTCAAAAGTAATAAAAGTTCTGATCTTTTAACATAAAAAATGTACTGTACGGATGGTAAATTTAAAGTTAATTTACGATTTATCAGACAGCTCGTTTATAAAATGCAAAATTTTTTCTAAATATCCTATATCATTCCGCTAAATATATATAAATAAATCTTGTCTTTAATTTATATTATAATTCGTGACGAGATTGTCAATAATACCCAATGTTTATATGAAAATTTTACTTCTTATTTTCACAAATAAAACGTGTAAATAAATAAATTATTCGGTTGAAAAGAGAAGAAGAAACGGAGACTTTTCCAAACTCGTACTTCCATCCAAATAAATTATCACGAAATTTACAAATTTATCCTACTTTATCTGGCTTTTTTTTTCTTTCTTTTTTTTTTTTTTTTTTTTTCAAAACATACAGGAAATAACTACTAATTGTCATTTCCGCGGGCATTACCCACAAAGTAGACCATTTTTCTTACGTACACATAAACAGAGAAGGGTCGAGAAGTAAACTTAAGAAGGAATGAGTCCGAGCTCTGCAATACAACATTAAGCAGCTTCTGAAATTTATTTGATATAGTATTACTTGAATGTAATACTCATTGTATGTGCTCGTTTATTCGATTCTTTCCCTTAAGTATTCCGAGAGGAATATTTATCGAACATCTTGTAAACAATAATCGTGAAAAGAGAGAAAGATTTTTAATAAATATTGATGGTAACTTAAGAATACGATAAAGTGTATTTTGCCCAACATTGATTAAAAAATATGATTTTCCAAAGTACGATTATTTTATCACTGTATTATCAATAACCATAAGTATTTAATATTTAAAATTAATATAATTTACTCGAATTATTAACGCGAGAATGATAAAATAATATAAAAACAAATAACAAAGCATTACATTTGTATACAAAAATCGACTTAGGCTAACTTAATAATTAATTGTTAATAAGAAAATGATCTATTGTGTATAGAAAGATTGTGACGCGTAGTAAGTGTGACCGGCGATTTTCTTATGAAATCACGCGTGCAATTAGAATGTCCATACCAATCTTATAATTATAATCTCGATAATGCAAATATATAAATAACAATTCGAGTATCCGAGTATTTCGACATTTTTATCTAAACTTGTGCCCTTGTGTTTAAAACGTAATATCTCATCCCATTCAAAAATTGACGTACCATGCACCTTTAATGGCATAGTTTCGATGGTGCGCGCAATGCCCGCGCGATAACGAAGAACATTTATTGATAAAAAAAGAAAAAAAAAAAAAAAGAAAAAAATGAAGAAAGAAAGAATGAAAGAAAGAATGAAAAAAGAAAGAAAAAAAAGAATGCTTAATAAATCGCATCTGACCCTGGAGAAAGAAACCAGACGCGACTCGTGGATGATTAAAATGCGCGGGTCTCGCATGCCCAGGAAATATTTCGAAAAATATCGTCGAGAAAGTGACGTCTTGCGCGGGAGCAACTTTGTCTCGCGTCAATCCTCCAGACGAATTTGTCGAACGCGCGCTTCCACGGCTCTGCATGGGAAATTTGTCAAATAACGAACTCCCTAGCCACAAGTATTTCAGTCTTTTTCATCCCCCAACGATCCACTCCTATCCTAAAAAGTGGAAAGTTCAGCGCAAGCTCAGCTCAAGCTCAGCGATACGAAAGAGCACACTTGTATAATTAATAATGCCTAGGGCCTAGGCCGCTTAAGGCCCTTTCATCTTTCCTGATGACGTTCGATAGTGTATTTATTGCCCGTGCGCGGGCACTCACGATTATTACGATTACCGATACTCGGTCTGCCTTCCAGCCATACCTATCCTAATAATTTTGTTATCTATCTTTCGTAAGAATGAGAAAATATTAGCAAGAGAGTAGGAATGTATTAAGATTGCATGAATTTAACAATGTACAGTGAGCTTTCTATGCTAATCCAAGTTGTCAATTATATTGGGGTGATATCGTCGTTTGACCACGTCTCTAAAATCATAAACAATATAACTCACACACCGAATAAAAATAATTTGTGCCCAAAGCTTTCGTTATACTATTTAACTCCAACAATCGCTAGTATCGATTTCGTATATGATAATCCGGTGTTGACAAAAAACAAAAACAGAAAAGAACACAAGAAAGAAAAATTCGAGCAGTACATTATAAGATGGAAGCCGTGTGATAATATTCAAAATCAATGGACAAATAAATGATTAAATAGTATGTATAAACGAGAAAGAAGGATGAAAAGTAATGACTAGGCACACGATTCCCCACTCTCGTCCTATGATATCTATTAAATAATCATGGTAATAAAGCCAGTGTATACGAACGGGTAAAAGTAGCCACAGGGGAGAAAGTACTGGTAACCAGACGCAGATGATGTTGATACCGACAAGGGGGAACTCGTTTAAATGAGTCGTCGCTTTGCGGATGCTCACGATACCATTCGGGAGGCTTTCAAATACTGCCTATCTCGATTATTGAGCTAAATATGGTCGTATTAACGGAGAAAAGCAAAGTGTAGAGGTCTTTTGGCTTTTACGGCATCCATGAACCTCTAATGGCCAAGTGTGTGCTTTCGGCTCTCAGGTGGCGACTTTATTTATATAAAGAGCAAACCGTTAACATTTTTCCAACAATTCTACAAATAATTTCTTTTTTTTTCTTCTTCTTTTTTTTGTTTGTTTGTTTGTTGTTGTTGTTGTTGTTTGTTTGTTTGTTTGTTTGTTTGTTTGTTGTTTTAAATTTGTTTGTTGTCTTATTCTTTGTTTTGTTTTTTTTTTTTATAAATTTATTTATACGACTGTGATTTCGATTATCGGGGTGTTACTTTAAATATTTTAATTTTATATCATTAATACGCAAGTAAATTAGTCGATAAATAATGGTATTCGATAAATTTCAAATCACACTATACATTGTAAACTGTAAGAAATTCATCGTTTAAAGAAATATGTTTGCCGTAAATTTACATTGAAATGCATAAATATATATATATATATATATATATATATATATATATATATATATTCATGTTTATCAATTTTTAAATATTCAATAAAAAATAATTAGTTGAATGATAATTCAATGAATTGTTGTTCTTAACTTTCTTTTTATATTTTTTTATTAATTTACTCGTGTAAATCACTTTATTCTTTTAGTTAGTTATTTTTTCTGTGTAAACGCTTCCATACTTGTACAGTTAATGAGATTTAAGTCTAATCGTAAAATTTGTTATTGTACTTGATCGTTACAATATTTATTTGTTTGTAATATTTATTCAAAAATTTTTAAAAATTATTATTTTTTTGCCATTGTTTTTCCTATTTAACAAAATTCTATATTATACAATTTAGCTTTTTTTATTATGACTATTAATTTCTTGTTTAATTGTGAAAAATACTTTATTCACATATTAAATGATGAGTCTTTATTAAAAAAAAATGATTTATCATTTCATATATATATATATATATATATATATATAAATCGAAATATATTTTGATCGAAAAAATACTTTATGAATTCCTTGAAGTTTGCCGTTAAATCGGACCGATATCTATCTTGAACTTAAATCATTTACGAACCAGTGAGCTTGCGGATACACGTGTGAGTACACTAATGTTCCGTGGTAATTTCTTAATAAAGAACCACAAGAGAAATGTACAACCTCAACAAGCACGGCTGAGGCGATGAGAAGAGGATGGGGGAGGCTAACGAGAGAGAGAGAGAGAGAGAGAGAGAGAGAGCGGTCTTGATCGTGGTTGGTGGTTTCCTTCAATTTACTAATTGAATCGTCAGATACAATCAGGATATGAGCCAGTGAAAGAGTAAGAGTGTGGGAGAGCTAATAAGAGAGGGAGGGAGTGAAACGGGGAGAGAGAGCGAGAGAGAGAAAGAGAGCGCGCGAGAGAGTGAGAGAGAGAGAGAGAGAGATTGAGAGAGTGAGAGAAGGAGAGCGTGGTAGGTAGGTAGACCGAGACAAAGCCACGCCTCTTACAGGGGGTTGGGCCTATTTGGCAGTGGCGCCCACCCACGCTTGAGATTTTTCTGGGCTCAGCATCTTCCACTCGACTATTCCGACTGACGTTCACTCGCATTGTGTCATCGAGCGCGCACGCGTCAACGGACACTTAATCCTGGCTCGTTGATGTTTCCTGCCTTCTAATATCCTTCCTCATTGTCGGCGCCAATTGCATGTTCAGTGACAGTGTGATTTGTTTTGATTTTCACCTTCCGTTAGGATACATAGATAATCGCCCTTCTCATGTAACGAGAGTTTTTACAACGCAGTGCAAGGAAGTGGGTGCTCCTTTTAATAATCGACCTTAACTTAACCGGTTGATTCGAGTTTTCAAGTTTTCATTGGGTCATCGAAGACGTCGGCATGATGATCGGAGGTTACGAGTTTCAAGCTGATTATTACCCACAATGGCATCAGCCCTACAACTACATCACGCAGTTACCCTACGGTTAGTTAACATTCTTCGTCATTATTATAACTGTTTCTTTGTCACTCCTATAGAGTTGAACCTTTAACACAAAACATTGCGAGAACATTAAATTTGCTCTTTTAGAGATGTCTCATTAATTGTAAAATTAAACTTTTATGCTCGTGACGCAGAAGCATCGATATGGTAAAAATTAATCGTTTCGCTGCTAATTTTATAATCTCATACATTCACAAAAACATTGCTCTTAATCTTCTTTTATACAAAGTTCTTCAATATAATGTGTGTATCTCTGGATTCGCGCAGCTTAATCATAATTGCATCTTTGCATTTATTTTTCGACATTTAACAATATTTTTCGACATTTAATATGGTAACGTAAACGAATTTCAAAAAATCTTTCATCATTAATTATCGGATAACGTATTCATTGGGAGGGTAATCGAAATGTCAGTGACTAACAAGTATCGACCTACGCCGAATAATTAGTAGCACATTTTGAAGATCCTCGTAAGTTTAAGTTGTCGAAGCCGTAAATATGGGCGAGCCTTTCAGCGAAATCATAAGAACGGAAATATTATCCTCATTTCCAGGACTGCCGGACATGGACAGCCAGTCAACTTATTGGGGTGCGGACTCGGGCATATCCGGCAGCAGTTCGGGAGCCGGTAGCCCCGCAACCTCGACACCTCCTCTCATCGAAGAAATCGGTATACAAGAGCCAAGCTACTCACCTCTACAGCAATATTCCCTTCCGTCGCACAATGGTCAACAATCCCAGCATCACCACCTCCATTACTACAGCGACCTCATCTATCAGCAACAGCAGCATCAACATCAGCAGCAGCAACAGCAACAACAACAACAACAACAACAACAGCAACAACAACAACAACAACAACAACAGCAGCAGCAGCAGCACCACCACCACCATCACCATCACAACCACCACCAGCAGCAGCAACTACACCAACAACATGACAATCACCATCATCATCAGCAACAGCAGCAACAACAGCAACAGCAGCAGCAGCAGCAGCAGCAGCAGCAGCAGCAGCATCATCGTCACCAACAGCATCAGTTAACATCACCGAGCACCAAGGAGCATCACTTGGAGGACCTCCAACAGCAAGCCAGCGGCTCGGCGACGTTGCTCCAACAGAGTCCTGCCTCCATTTTACAACAACACGTCAGGTGCGTGAGCGACGGCCTCGGATTGGTCGTGAGGCCCAAGCGCAGGAACACGGCCAACAAGAAGGAGAGGAGACGCACGCAGAGTATCAATAACGCCTTCGCTGATTTGAGGGATTGTATACCGAATGTCCCCGCGGACACGAAGCTCTCAAAGATTAAAACTTTGAGATTGGCTGCGAGCTACATCGGTTACCTAATGGCGGTGCTTGACAGTGACGAGGGCGAGGAGCCGCAAACCTTCCGCGCCGAGATCCTTTCCAGTGGCAGGAGAAACAAATCACAAGGCAGTTTGGTAAGAATGATCATGCATACAATTGGCAATGTATGTAGAATAATTTTAAATTTACCGTTACAAACGTGTGGTATAATCGCGACGCGATGTTCACCGATGCTGCGTTATACAAAGAAATCGCCGATTTATGTAATAATTTGGCATTTATTCGAGCTTGTTTATAAACAATGTATAATCAGTATGCGAGGAGGATAATAATAATAATAATGGAAATGCCGGCCAATCCGTTGGAATATTAAATATCGATATTCAGCGACTAGTCCTCTTATTTATTTCATGTGTATCAATAAAATTGAAAATAATTACAAAATGTTCGATAATCGAGCAATTGCATTCATAATAATTAAAATGCCACATTATAAATAAATAAATAAGATATTGCTGCACGAAATAATACTCTTAATTATCAACCATTAGGAAGTAATTTCATTAAGTAGAAGCATTAGTTTGACAGATCAAAACAACATTGGCATATCTCTTTTACTTTCAAAACAAATGTAATCTTTACTTTCGAGTATAAAGATTATGTATAAATTTATTTTAGAGAATATTTATGCTTAATATTAAAAATAAATACATAATTCAGGTGTAATTAGAAAACTATATGCAAATTGTAATTAATCGGCGATGCATTGCATCGCACTCATGTTAAGGATAATCGTCTCTACATTAAACCATAATTACACGTGTTTCGTTCAAATTTGCATTTGGAATTCTATTTGGATAATCAGCATGTTGAGAACGGCGGGTCAAGCTCTCCAACATTGTTCCAATTTCAACATTAACGGTTCACGAGTATGACGTTTATGGGACGATAACTTTTCCGTGTTTACACGTCGTCCTTATAAGCCTCCGAAATAAACAGTCAACAATATTGTTTATGTTGCAGAGCGAGGCAGCGATGCACGTAATGGGGATGCAGCCGGAGGAGACGAGCAAAGCCAAAGGACGAACGGGATGGCCACAGCACATGTGGGCACTGGAATTGAAGCAGGAGCCACCGACGACGAGTCAGTTCCAGTAAAAAAAAAAAGAGTAAAAAAAAAAGGAAAGAAAAAAAGAGCGGCGGCGATGGTGATGGGCGGGGAGGGGGGGGGAGGGGGGGGCAGGAGAAGAAGGAGCTATCGGAAGGAGACGGTGATATATGGCCTGGCAATGACCAAATCCAGCGTTCAAGCGCATAAGTAATTTATAATAATACGAAAGGGTACTCTCGTTTACGGTATCCTTATCATGTATATATAGTGACACTTTGGATCTCATCTTTGAATTATTGCAAACGAACGAACGAACGAACGAACGAACGAACGAAAAGTTGTAAATAGAGTACAGTACAGAGAGTGGATGAGTCGTTTCTTTTCTTCTTCTCCAACTTTTTCTTTTTCCACTACCACTACTACTACTACTACTACTACTACTACTACTACTTTTTCTTCTTCTTCTCCTTCTTCTTCTCCTTCATCTCCTTCAATTCTTCTCCTTCAATTACTATGTTTAATTAGTTGTATTACTTTACTTGGAAAAGCCAAAGAAAATGATGGAAAAGCATGTACTTAAAATCGTAATAATAGTTTATTTGATATTCTATAGTTTGTTCGGCACTTAATAGATGGTCGAACGTCACGCTTCTGTAATATTTTGTATAAAGTGTAATTTATATCTTATCGTATTATATTAATATAGAAAATTAACGGAATAAAAGAATACTATTGTATAGCGATTTCGTATTATTTTGACCTCATGACTTTGTCAATGTTGGCGAGTGTTCGAAGCATACAGGCATCGCAGCACAATTTCATTAAAAAAAAAAAAAAAAAAAAAAAAAAAAAAAATCTTGCAAGTCTTTGAAATAACTTTGCTATTTTTAAAGCATAATTCTTGAAAGCTAAACAATCCCTTTCTAATGTTCATGCCACATTTATTGGAAGCTCGCGCGTGCGCGCGCGCTCGCTCGTCATAAGAAAAATACTAAGGCCTCTTGACTCTCAAGTTTCCCCCAAAGATCTCGGCCTCGGTAGCTGCATGCTTTACTTTTCAGCCAAGAGTATCTCGATTTGAAGAAAATAATCCACGAGCACTTCAAACATTAAACTTAAACTTGCAATGAAAAGGAAACATAAGCCCTTTTGATCGATCCACATAATATACACTCGATCTCCTCTAAACGACTCAACAAATAAACACATAACTTCAAAATCACTTAAAAGTCCAAAAAAAAAAAAAAAAAAAAAAAAAAAAAAAATTATAAAATAAAGGGAGATCCTGTGGGTGGAGAGGGAGTGGGAAGATAGAGGGAGAGAAAAATATCATGTATCATATGTGTAAATTCAATGGATTAAAATTTTTAATGTATACGCTACAATATGTACTCGGTAGGGCATATAAAGTCGTTTATTTGATTTTGAAAGAAATTTGATTGAAGGGGATTATCCGAACTTATTTTCTTAGCGGATCTTTCATCGTTCGCCTCGAGTTCGTTTAATTCATCAAAATCTAAATATTTACTTTGAGCCTTTGGCTTTAGAAACCTTGCCATATTCGTCGCGCTATCTCTCCGAATCATCCAATTTCGCAATTTTGTTACATTTTACTTGGCCCCCGACGAATTGTTACAAACGGCTCCCGTTATAAACGCCACATCAAGCTCACGCATTTCGCGAGATCTCTACCCACAATGCACACATTAATAATTAAGCTCGTCGCATGGAACTTTGAAGGGTCCGAGGACGAGCGCCAATAACAATATAGCGCCGAACAAATGGTTCTTTTGAGCCGAGGAGCAGCGGAGTTCGGAGAAAAGGAGCAGCCAGCCGAGCCTCGGCGGCCATAATTACCGCGATTGTCGGGAGGATCGGCGATCGGCCCACACGAGCCACACGAGCCACACGCACGGGCTTACGTTACATAACACGGCCACGACACGGCTCGGGAGCCTCCCGGGATTTCCTATCGCACGTGCGAGCGTCGTCGTCGTCGTCGTCGTCGTCGTCGTCGTCGTCGTCGTCGTGGTCGTCGTCGAGCCGTCAAAACGAGGAAATCGCCGTGTCGGCGCCAGTAACTGATACACGCCTCTCGTATTTCGGATATACTACCGCGCCCCGGGTACGGGAGGCTCCCCGTCGCATCTCGGCTCGACAAGAGATAGGCACAACGGAGAGTGGCGCAAGCGCTTCCGTGAGCGGGGTTGGGAGCCGAGGCCCTGGGGACCATGACACGGGATACGCGAGCCCCAACACGTGGTCCTAGGATCAACGGGATGCACTCGACCACTACGAGAACACTTTCTCTCCACGGCTACACAAAAATTTTCGCTAAACGAGCTGCCGAGCGCGCGCGCGTGTTTGTGTTTGTGCTTTTGTGTGTGCGTGTGTGTGTGTGTGTGTGTGAGAGAGAGAGAGGACAGAGAGAAGAGCCGTTATTCATTATGGCCTTTCGACTCCTTCTCTTTCGGTGTCTAGTAGAGTTAGTTTATCGTTGACGTGAGTCCAGCCGAGCGAGCCGCCTGTTGATATTATTGCTCTATCCTTTTCATGCTAAACGAGGAGCAATATAATACACGTATACGGTATTAACGCCCACGTTTGTCCTTTCTTTATTTCGGTCTTTTTTTTCACTTTTTTTCTTCTTCTTTTTTTTTTTCTTTTTTTTTTTTTTTTTTTTTTGTTTTTTTTTATAGCTGTGGCTTTTTTATGGCTCTGGTGAAAAATATCGGCACCTCGACCCGACTCCTCTGCCCCTCCCTCGCCCCTCCCTCGCCCCGCCAACCAATGGATTTTGCCAGACGATCTAGCAGGACAATATCGTTGGAGATGCTTTTACTTAACACGCCATTAATATACATTTGTCGATTCTTGTGAGATTTTAAGTAAAGTAGAGAGATATCCGACTGACTTTCACTCGTTCAATAATACTGACACGCGGATTATTGTTTGGGCATTACACGTGAGATGAATTCGTATATGTTGAAATTAGTAAAATTACAGACGATATTGAATTTCTCGTTTGTTCTATAAGATCGCATAGAATGTACGACCCAATGCGAATGAGATTCAAATGTAAAGGATCAAAGGTTGGCAAAACTTAGGATATGACATCGTAAATCCGTCCCTCGTTCATTGCGCAAATAAATCGACATTGTTTATTCGATTGTCTATGAGATTTATAACCTTTTCGGTTTTGGTTTCCCTGCTCAAGCCGAGAAATCATATCATTCGTATGACTTTTAAGTTCTCGTAGCAATTTTCACGTTATTTTCAATCCCCAATGCGAGCGCATAACAAATGTCATTAAAAAGAAAAAATGCAAAAGTTTAAAAAAAATTCATTGTTATTTTACACTAAAATTTATTATCAACTCTGGTATAAGAATTTCACTTTATTTTCACGATAAACAATCAATATTCGTCCATAAGGATGCGCCTAATTAATCAAGACAATATTAAAGTATTATATTTCAAATTGGCAAATTCAATATTTCTCCAATTAGTAATTAATTTTCAAACGTTTCATTCTTTCAAGTAAACTCTAATTAACTCTCAATTTATGAAATCGATATCGTTTAAAATTCAAGTATTTCTTCAAATCGAAGGCAAAAACTATTTACGGATAATAGCTATATAACGTATTAATTAATTGCATGCATTAATATGCCGATGTAATGTTAATTATGTAATAATACATTTGCCCCTCGTATTCCTAATCCTTCAACTATGAACAATACGCACGCGCACGCGCAAGCGCACACATATTTATTGCTATTTATCTTATTTTACTTATCGTCATTATTAATTAGAATGAATGTAGAAAGCATGGACGACGATTTCAAGTGGGCGTTCTCGGTGATTATCACAACTTCCTACTTACTAATAAATAATAAATATACATACGCTCATTTATATAAACATTATATTTTAAACATTAAATTTAAACATATATTTAAACATTAAATTTATTTGAATTCGTTATTTATTCTTAAATTTCAATCAATTTTTAACACAATATATATTGTACTATGACTACAATATAGCTAAACAACACAAGTGCAAAAGACATTCTGAATATAATAGAGAGCATTATACATTTTATGTTTCTTTAAACGGACGAAGGATGAATATTTCGTTTGACCAAGTAACATGAATTTTTGCCTCGCATTACTTGCCGCTGACTTAAACCCTTTGTTTTCTCAGTGCTCAAATAATGCCTTCTAACTCGTCTCCCTCCCTCCCTCCCCCCCCCCCCCCCCCCCCCCCCCCCCCCCCCCCCCCCCCCCCCCCCCCCCCCCCCCCCCCCCCCCCCCTCCCCCAGTCTATATCATATAATTTAATTTAGCTAGATAATTTGGCCATTAAACTTGGATCTGTTAATCGTTAAAAAGGGCAAAATTAATCGAAAACGGGCATAAATGTTCGAGGAGACGAAGGCCTCCAGATGAGATGGATGCCCATTGGAAGGACAGTGAGAGCTACCCGAGTGCGCGACAGAAAAGCGCAGGATCGCGATCAGCGTCATAATGGCCGCCGGTAACCCCGACGAATAGGGCACCGACGGAAATTGCGTGAAACTTATCAACTGGGCGGAGCTTCCGAACAGAAAACCCATATTTCTAATACGGGTTATTTGCGCTTCGCGTTTCATGCATCGCACAAGTAGGTGGAAATTAACTTGCCTTGAAGTGATTACTATAAAACACTTGTACTCGAAGTGGAATTCACGTGCGAGGGTGCAAATACCACGTTAAGTGCAATTTATCTGGCTTATGTAATATTAGACAAATTAAAATAATATTATTTATGATATTAATGTGCAATATTATCGAGGATAGCTGATAATCATATTACGTCGCTAATCGAATTGATGAAAATACGAAAAATATCTTCCAAAAATTCGTCAATTATTAATATCCGTGTATATACCATTTTAATACCAGTTAGCGCTCATAATATACGATGACTATTTTAAAATGTAATTAAGAATAATTACGTCGTACTTTGCGAAAAATGCGAGAATATCGAGTAATGTTTACCAAAGTAAATAAATTCCCT